TCTCTCTCTCTCTCTCTCTCTCTCTCTCTCTCTCTCTCTCTCTCTCTTTATGCTGGTGTTTCAATACGTGCTCTCTGTCTCTACCTCAGCTGCAGAGCATTGCTGAGAAAGACAACAACCTGATGCCCATTGGGAAACCTATTTTTGAGGTAAGGTGTTGGTGGTGTCGCCCTTTCAGATATAATTAAAAGTGAAAAATGCTGCTCTTGAGTCTCACCATGCCACAGTAAGAAACACTGACGGTTCCCTCCATTCATGTCATCTGGCTTTCCTGTGGTGCAGGCGGGATACGATGAAGAGGAAGAGGAGGACGACGAGGATGAAGAGGACAGCGAGGAGGACTCGGAAGATGAAGAAGACATGCAGGACATGGACGAGATGAATGACTACAACGAGTCACCCGATGACGGCGAGATCAATGAGGTGCTTTGATTTAGGATTTATAGAAAGTCTTGTTACTTTATAACTAGTATACACAGAAATTACTTTTTATTACAATAAGTGTTGTTTCCTTTTTAGCTGCCTTTCTTCTCCCCAAGCAGATACATCATGATCTGATATCTGTCTCTGTGTCTTCTGTCAGGTGGACATGGAGGGAGCAGACCAAGACCAAGACCAATGGATGATTTAAAACAAATGACAATTTTTAGTCTCCATCAAGCCGTCTGGCACTGGATTTCTACTCCCCACTTAAAACATGACTGCTGCCCCCTTTTGCCTGTGACACAGATATCTATTTTTAATTTGTGTAAACAGGAAAAAGAATGTAGTTGAATCTAAGCTTGTATCACGATGTCCTTCAGAGGGAGTGAATCCAGCACAAAGTGTCTTGTTTCAAGCTGCAGTTGGCCCGTGAAGGCCCTGGACGTCGTTGGACACCACTGTGAGTGCTTCTACCTGGCGCACACACACACACACACACACACACAAGGTCCTGCTGTTTTGTAACCAGTCGGACACACACCCACACAGTGCTATCAGTGGGCATCGGCTCTAAACTTTGACCTTCTCATATCTTCATATCTTCAAACGGCTGACTGAGCACAAACAACAGAGTTCAGTCAGCTAAATAATTTGTTACCTATGAAGGAGACTGACCGCTACTTCACACCACGTGGTACGATTCTGTTTCACAGTGTTGTGTATGCTGCTAGTCCTTTGTTACATATATTATACTCCCAGTAGAATCTTCATAAACGCTTATGAAATAGTATTATGTTCAGACCATTCATCAGTTGTCATTGAAATACATTTCGATGTTTTTTAACCATGTCAGAGGAACAAGCAGCCGTTACTTTTGGAGAATGTCAATTAAAATATGGAGACGCTCTCGGTGTCCGTCCAAATACTCCGATGATGTTTATCTTCAAGGATTGCTTGCCCGAGGTTTTGGTTATTAGTACTGAAATGAACGGAAGCCTTGAATTTTTTTATTAAATGAAATCATTTTGATGAAACCGTGTTTTTCTGTTGTCTACATTTTCCTTTGTTATTGATTAAAAGCGCGTAATGTAACATGTTAGAAAGGGGTGTGTGCTGGATTTAGGTTGAGTGAATGATCATTGAGATAAGTCTAGTAATGGGGTTTGTGATTTGGGGTTCCGATGATTTCATATCTGGAAAGATTTGAACAGACAATGGTTACATTTCCCACCCAAAGGGCAACATTTCCTTTAGTATGAAACATAAAGGACATTTATTATGAACTCACTAAAAGTGACATGTTATTGAGTTTAATTTGCATATTTAATGAATTTGCTCATTTTTTCAAATTTGGCAGTTATGACAAAAAAACGAAACAAGGTATTTTTGAAGACATATCCTGATTTTTCTGTTTTATTAGATAGCTGACAGAGGAGAAGAACAGAGTGTGGTGACAAGTAACGTGGTTACTAAATTGGTACATTTCCCTAATAATTCTATTTTTTTTTTTTAAATATATACTGACATGCTACAATTTTCAGGTGAATGTAACTTTTTAGGGAAGAATTTACATTTAACATTTCCAGCACAATTCTCTTTAAAACCAGTTTTAACATATGTACATGTTATACCATCATCAATTCATACCTTGCCACTCCAAACATGTGTATCTGACTAATAGTGTAGTCTACTTGATTCCCTGGTACACCAGCTCAGCCATCCCGTCCCTGATGCCTTTGCTGTACTCGAGTGTGGCCCGGTGGACCTTCCACTCATACAGGCCACTCTTGCGAACGTGCCTGAGGAACTTTGGAGCCCCGGGGAACAGCACGTTGTCGGCCATGATCACAGACCCTTTTCCCAGCAGACCAGAGCCCTCCAGCATCTGTAACACACACACACACACACACACACACACACCGAGGAAGTATTATGTAACAGTGGGACGGATCACATCTATTAAGTACAAGTTCAGGTGTAAAGAAACTGGCTTCTGCAGACTCAGAGTACATATTATGTGAATGTTCTTTCTAGTGATTTATTCTAGTCACCTGCAGATCAGGGAGGTAACATTTCTTCCAGTGGTCCATGAAGATGAAATCCAGCCTTTCCAAACCATAGTCAGACCGCAGCCGAGGGATCACCTCATCAGAGGGATTTATAATGAGCTCCACCTGGAGAACATATCTCATGAATATCTCAAAGGTACAATACACATGAAAGAAAAATGTCCTAGATTTATATGAAAAAAAGGTCATTTGGGGCTTTTGTCAAAAAGCCTACTGTAGTTGGAGTGCGATGGATGTGCAGTGTTTACATGTTTCTGCTCTCTCACCGTGTCATCGTCAAACCCTGCCAGGCGGATGATTTTCTCAGCGATGGCAGCATTCCTCGAGTCCATCTCGAGGCTGTAGATCCGGGCGCCCAGGGGCAGAGACCGGGCGATCCTCACGGTGCTGTACCCGCAGTGGGCACCCAGCTCCAGCACCGTCAGAGGGCTCAGCTCCATCACCAGCCGGTCCAGGATCTTCCCTACACACCGAAAAACATCACGTAAAATCATGCTGGTAGACAGACGGTAAACTGTTGCGTAAGGTAGATGATCTTCTCACCTTTTTTAGGCCCGATGTTGCTGATGAACTCCACTTTGCTGCACCAGACATCGAAGGCGTCCAGGATGCTGTCTGGGTCTCCAGGGGTGGCGTGAGTGAGGACGTACTGGTAAGCACGCTCCTCGCGGCTCAGACCAGTAACACAGTCCTTCCATATCCTGACCAGGACCGCCCGATAGAACAGCACAAAGTAGAAGCGGCACCTGATAAGAACTGTCAGCAGGAGGGGAATGAAGGCCAGAGCGATAGCAGGAGAAACCATCCTAGCTCGTATAAAGAGAAACACACACAAGTAGAATCATGAGACACCTATAATTATGTTCAAAAAAAGGAATATGCCCCTTTAAATTAACCTTTACATGAATGTTGTACCACAAAAACACAAACAAACTTTTGTGCTTCCGTCTCCCATCTCTCTGTTTTTACATTCATGGACTACAACGGCATTGGCTTACTGTATTTTATCTGATCTAATCTTTAACATCTAATCTAACTGTGCTGCCCTGCAGTGAAGAAATAAGGTAAAATGGATAAAGAGCAACTTTATCAGTCAACAAATCACCTCATTTTTGAGTAAAAGTACAATTATACTCATTATCGCAGTGCCATGTTGCCTTCTGAGACTGATGTTCGGGTGTGTTAAGAGTATTTAGTGCCAGTATTTAGTCCCAAACCTCGCTTCAACCTTCCATTAGTGCTGCAAGATCATTCAGCTAATTCCTCCTCATACTCAAGCCAGTTAAGTTTTATAATTTTCAGAAGCACATAGCTGTCATTCTGAATTGTGACTCCACAACTCTTTCTGTGGTATCATGTATCTAATCTGGTGCTTTTGTAATGTTCCATGTGATAAATGGTCAAAGCCATCAATTAATCACGACTAACAAAAGATCTCTAATTAATGCACAGAAAGAATAAAAGGTAAGGTACAGTTGGGATACTAAATGTCCATTATAAGACCATTATGACAGTGAAACAACAGTGACAATTGTATTAGTTAAATTATCTTTTCCTGAATTGCCGACATTCCAAATAGACTAAGTTTGAGAGACACTCTCCTAGTTTTGAATTATGCAAGTTAAGATCTACACAGCAATGATCTTTCACGCTTTAGTCCTGTGGAAGATGTGAGAGAATGTGCCGTCGCCTCTCTCGATGTTTCCACTCCCTCAGGTAGCCGAAGACTGCGCAGGCTTTCGGCCCCACTCAGAACCGATGCTATAACAAAGTCTCTCTTACTGTCCCGTGAAAAAAAACTCACCTGTTTTCTAAAAAACTTTCGCAAGCGCAGAGCAGCAGCAGTGCCGGTGATAAAGATGAAAGTGGCACTTCAGCCACAGAAAGATGGAGTTGTGTGTGTGTGTGTGCAAGAACAGGTAAGAGACCTGGGGGTGTGAATAATTTAAGTATCACGTGCTTGACAGGACACGTCCAGTAATTATTTCTAATTAACAGACAGGCGGTTGACAGTAACATCACTAACTCTTTATCTCGCGGTTAAACACCAGTTTTTCTCATTTTTGATAAGACACACAGGCAGCTTCTTGTGCTGTTTATGACAGCGATAGTGTGGATGGGAGCAGAGACAGTGAGACAGAGAGCGGCAGTGTGAGACATTTGATATAACAAGTTAACAGCAACAGGTGTATGTCTGTGTGGCATCAAATTTCTTTACTGAGTCACGATGGAAAGGCCAAGAAAACACAAACGCACACAAATAAGTGGAAGGGAATATCATCTAATGTAACTAAATCGTACACTTTTTTCATTAAAGTTTGTTTCAATAAAACAAAAATCAGCCAAATTTGAAAAAGACTACAGTAGAGTTATGTTAGGAACAAATACATGTAATAAAATGCAAAAATAGAGACCAAACAAGAACCAAATGATTTATTATTCATATTTCTTTCCTTTCTTTTCAGTGCTTCTCTTTTGATCCTAACATGTGATTTCACTCATAAAACGACTGAAGCTGCTGCGAAACTAAATGGTAAACTACAAGGCAATAAAAAACTTGCAGGGCTAGTTTTTATGGTGTATGATTCATGCAATATAAAATGATAGGATAGGTAGTGTAACAAAACAGTTTTATCATTACAGGAATAACAACAATTACACTGCTTTAATCCAAATATGTGTCAAAAGAAAACTTGTGATGAGATCAGTCTAAACCCTGCAATCAATACCAAACACTTTGACTTTGATTAAAGGGTTATATTTTGTCTCTCCTATATACACAAATGTACACAAAAATACTAATATTGCCCCAGTTGGAAGTATATCAACGTTTGCACTATTTTGTGATAATGCTTCATCATCACTGCTGGTGGGAGATTTTCAGAATAATTGTGTAATTGGTCATTTCAATAAGTCTATGTCTAATAATCATTCACTGAAAAGAAGTAATTTTAGTGAAATGATGATCTATTTCACTTGAATGTTGAATTATGATAACGTAATTCATGATACTGCTTGACTTGATATGGCACAAAATAATATGTATGTATGTAAGTCACTTTTTTAGAGTTAATCAGGAACAATTCATCAAGAAAGTGGCAAGTATTCAGATAACTACGAACTTATCCTGTTAATTTACATTGTATCTAACGATCAGTAAATGATTCAGTTTTAGTTGGGAACTATTTGTTAACTGTTCGTTATTCAATGATGTAGCAATCAGCGGCACACAGTTTAAACACTGCATACGACCACAAAGCAGCATCCATGGGGGAGTCTACAGCTCCGGACAAGACTGTTTGAGGAGAGCTCTGATGAACTTCTTCAGCTCTTTGTCCCCTCTGGTCCACTTCACCAGTCGAGTCAGCAGCAGCCTTCCCTCTTCAGCCTGAGCCAGGGCCAGATACCATCCACTCTGGACCCCTTTCACTGCCTTTCCTCCATCTTTTGCTCGTCTTATATCCATCTGTTCCCCCTCTAACCCCCTGTCTTTGTTTGTCTCTGCAGAGTCCAAGCCAGGACAAGCGCAGGTGCCTCCTTCTTGCAGCCACAAAGCGCTGTGGGCCATCGCGCCTCCAATCCCTTCTGCCCTCTGCGCACCTCCCCCTGCCCACCTCAGGATGCGGCTGCGGGCCGTAGGCACCAGCTGACGGTCCCCTCCCACCACCGACACACTGCCCAGACGCATCTTAAACGCTGAAACGGAGACAGAACGCTAGTTAACAGGTGCCATTTCAGACACATTGTAAAACAACCTCTCTATCTCTATGATTAGATCATCTGTTCTGTGGCCTGTTTCGTTTTTTTAATCTGAACTATAATACAGAGGGTTATACTGTGTTCTGCTCCATTCTCAAAAGATTTTTTTATTTAGTTTAGCTTACATTCTCTACACCAGTTTGTTCTCACCATATGTACTGTGGCAGAAGTTTTCCTGGATGTCACTTTCTCCTTCAGCAGCCAGACTGCAGGCCTCACAGATGACACTCCCTGGGTGGGGGGGGTGGAAAGAGAGGGGATTAGATGACTGCGAGCGTCTGCGGTGGGGATGTAAAAAAAATCCTAACGGTGGTGAGACTGTTGTCTTTGAGCAGAAACCCCAGGATCAAGGCATTCAAAACAACTTTAAGATGAGATTGGGGGAAATAAACCTGCATTGATCTTCAGGAGGGATGTTTCAGTTACAGCAGTTCAAGAAATAGATGAACTGTTTTAAATACAATTTGAAAATAACAAAGAAATGACTTTCAAAAGCTGCTTGCTTATATATATATAATATATATATACTGTATATATATGCTTGTATACATATAGATACTGCACATTATTTGTACTACAGCACAAATGATTGAAAACTGCAGAGTGTGATGCCAATATCAATACTAAGGAGTAAAAAAAATGTAATATTGATAAACTCACAGATATTTGTCTTTTAACAGAAACACACATAAACAAACATTTTTGATGACAATTCCTAAAATGTGGTTATTAAGGAGGACTTGTGACCAAGATATGAAGCGGGACACTTTACGGGTGAAAAACTAGACAAACTATATAACGGAGACACTTTCCCAACTTTTCTTTAACATCTTGATATTTATTTTTACGTATTAGCAGAAATACATGCTGATACTGATATGTTTATTGACTCTAATTTGTGCATTGTGCAAAATAATGTGTGTACATGCAGAGATAATATTGGGCTATAGTGGTATAGTGCAGTTGGAGAGCCTTGGAGAAAGTGACTGCAGCAGGGATAGGAATTTATAGTGCAGGCAACACATATAGGCCCAGAGGCTAATAATAGTTGTGTAAATATAGTTATGTAAATAGGCCTAATAAAAAGGTCTACAGGCACATAGCCTTTACAAATATATATGAAAAATGTGTTCATGAGATATTAATATAACACATATTTGACTACTATACTCTTATAGTGTGATGATAGATCAACAGCTGTTTATTTGTTTTTAAAGGGTAGGTTAAAGATGACCACTGACCTTTCAACGTCTCCTCGTGCCTGACCTCCTCGGGCGTCCGCCCCTCCTGCTCTCCGGTTGCCGGGATACAGAGCTGGGTGCCACGCGGGAACCGGGTACAGTTGAACATCTCCGGCCAGGGGAACCCGAACGCGCTCATCACGGGCACGCAGCCGTCCCGCACGACCTCGCACAGGCTCCCGCAGGGGCTGACCGGCCCGCTGAGCTCCGGCAGACACACCGGGGCGAAGAGCGAGCACAGGAACTTCTTGGTGTCCCGGTGGCACAGCTTGGAGACGAGGGGCAGCCAGGCCGCCGACTGCTGCTGGGCCTCCCTCAGCGTGTCATGGCCGAGCAAGTTGGGGATCCGCATGTGCCTGTAGCCGATCCCGTGGCACAGAGACAGGGTGCTCGGGATGGGTTTACACACCGAGCGCACCGAGGAGCTGAACCCGAGCGACGGCGGCCCGAGCTGGGCAGGAGCCACCGTGTCCGAGGCATGGCAAACTCCAAACAGCAGAATAAAGCTGAGCACGGAAACAAACATTGTGTCTCCCGACAAGAAGCGAGTGAAGTCTGCAAATCTGCTGCTCCCCCTGCCTGGACTTGACCGGCATGTAGGTGTAAACAAAGGAGGTGTGGAAACGGGGGGTTAATGAGAGGGCAGGCGCCTCCCAGTCATCATCCCCACCCCATCAGACTGGTGCCCGCCTCCACGTTTAACAGTGTATCGCTACTACACACTGTTTGTTTGGGATTCGTGTTGTGAAGTAGCTTATATCATCTTTTTTGCCTTGTTGCTGTGTAAAGCCAGACTCTAGACTTTGAAATTACGAATAATTAAAATGAAGAGACGTTAATAAACTATAATGACTGTTGCTTTTGTTTGTTGGCCATTAATACAGGACTTTTTGTATAAGCAGTGGGAATAAAAAGCTATTTTGGTGCATGAAGAGATTTGAAGAACATTATTGTCAGTATTGTGAAATTAGGAACTGGAAATAAAATGTAACTGTTGTGTGTTAGAGAAGCGCTGCATATGGTACTCTGTCATCATCATCAGCCCGGGGTGTGAGAGAGCCTTTCATCTTTTTCCAGGGAGACTTCCTCATGTGCACCAACATGCCTTGTCCTGTTCCCTTCTCCTGCTGCTGCCTATTTGATTTCTGCTCAGCCTATTATGAATTTAGACAGCTAGAACATAAATAAAAAATAAGGCATTAAATTAAGGAGAAAACAATAATGTTGACCAGAAAATCAACTCGTAAGTTTAAGCTTGCCATACCTACTATTTTTTACATATCATATTCAAATAGGCAACCCTTTCACTATTAGTTTAGGCTTTACAAAAACAAAACAGTACTGCAAAAAAAAGTTTCAAACTTACATCATAATAATCATACCTTCGTTGTATTTTTCAAACTGGCTCCCTCTAATAGCCTCATACAACGTCTGAATAGAGTTAGGAAGCAAATGATATTGCTTTGCACAATATTCGTACAGCATTAATTTGGGTAGTGTTGTATGTTTATCCCACTGCTCCTGACGTTTTAACATGTTTTACATTTTTTTTTTATAAAACTCACGTTTGAAAATTCCCCCCTCACGTGACGGATTCCACAGCTGCTTCACATATACCGGAAGTGGTCGCTGTGTTGTTGCACCAGAGCTACTGTCATGTGATAGCTCGTCCTGAGGAGCTGCTGTTGGCAGTAGCTTCCTTATCTTTACATGAAGCATAAGTAAACCAAGCAGGAGAAAAGTTGTATGACTGTTGGAGAAGATAAATAAGGCCCGTTTCTGACGGACAGCAGGGAAGCCGGGGTTGTGTAGTTTCGCCCCTCGGACGCTGACATGGGTTGCTGTTACAGCAGCGAGAACGAGACCACAGAGCAGGTAGTTAGCTAGCCGCTAGCCGGCTAAAAATGTCCCGATAAATACGATATTTGTTATTAAGGACCATGATATCACATTATTTTAACATAATGCATTTGAGTAATGTGTGAAAGTTTAAAATGTGGTCTTTATTTAGCAGCTAAACTGTTGTGACGCCTGAGAAGCAGCGTTAGCTTGCTAGTTAAAGCCTTCGGGAAAGGCCTGAGCTAAGGCAGGCTGTGAAGTTTAACACATAGATGAGAAACGATCGTAGATAAGACGAGCTGCACCGATCTGAAGGCAAAGAAACATGTTTAGAAGAAAACCCGTAACGTTACATATGTCAACTTATGTACAGTCACTTTTTACGATTAGCAGGACATTATAGCTTAGCCACTCGCATCAACGTTGTTTCCTGAAAACAAATTGTTGTAAAACTGTGACAAAAAAACCCAGAATTAGTAGTAAACTAGTAAATGTTCTATTTTAGCCTTAACAGCAGAAGTGATTGATGTCCTGAATACCGTGTTCTTGATGTCTTCTATGTCATATGACCCTAGCCATTTTTAGTTTCCGGAAACAAGTCACTTCTGCCTATGATGCAGTTTTGTGCTAGCACACAGAGTTACTCACTCTGTCATTCCCAAAATAATGTGTATTAGTCCCAATCAAATTAGTCCTGTTGTTCTAATCAGTGTGAATTTGTTTATGTTGAGACTTCCCCTAATGTTTAATGTAAGAATGGCAAACCTGAGTTCAGAGCAAGTCTGCAGGGAGGAGTGTAACTATATGTGTTACCACAAGTATTGTCATGTTGACAAATGCATTGCTATGGTTGGTTGTTGAGCTGATACCTCAGGCTTTTGTCACTACTTCTTGTATTGTAACATAATGCGTTTATTATGTATCCAATGGAGAAAGCACTTTTAATGGGTCACACAGTACTTCATTATTTCATCTCATTGGCTCAATTATCATATTTAATGTCATGCTTAATAAAATATAGTAGGTAAGGCACATTCTTTGGCTATTTCAACTGTAACATAGTTTATTGTATTGTCATGAGCTGAAAACCTTTTTTTATCCCTTAATCCCATTCTGGTCGACCCGTTCTAGGACCCTGATGAGCGTAAGCCGCTGATCCCCCACCCGAACCCTGTCAGCAAACCCCCAAATGGGACTGACTGGATCACTACCAGCGTCCCGTCAGCAAGGACGGATGAACAGGCGCTCCTTACATCCATCCTCACCAAGACGGCACAGTAAGACATGCAACCATAGATGAGCCAGATTCATGCACGTGTTTACCTGATATAAAAAAAAAGCACCTTTTAATAACCTGCCAATATCTCCTCTCTGTCAGGAACATCATTGATGTGTCAGCAGCCGACTCTGTCATGATGGAGCAGCATGAATACATGGACAAAGCTCGGCAATACAGGTATGTGGGTGAGCGGTTGCGTACTATTTGTTGTGGAAGGCTGGTGCAGTTTTGTTTTCTGTGTATGGGTATGGGAAAGGTGTCTGAAGATGGTTATCAATAATCTGCTGAATTACACATGTAGGTAGCCTATAAACTATAAAGAAAGCTTGGGTATTTGAGTTGTTAGAGCCATATATCATGATAACATTCTACTTTATAAGATGTTCAGCTTACTTTTGTGCTGTTTACTGTATGTATCACAGTGTTCTGTTGTATGGTTATACCATATCTTACTCATTTAAAGCCTATGGAAAGCTTATCCGATGACTTAAATGCTATTTAAAAAGGGAACCAGCTTCATCTGCAAACTACTGGTTGGTGTTGGCTCACATGAATGTGCTAAGAATGAAACTGTTCTTACACCAACCTGACAACTCAAGAAGGGGGGGGGGGGGGGGGGATTGCAACAACATAGACTTATTTGCTTGAACTTTACCTTCAAACCTCAGATACGACACCTAGTGGCTAGATGTTCTACCAAACACAGCAGCTGTGTTTAGTCTAAAATACAGGTGCAGAGATTAAAGTGCCGGTTCTGAGGACACAGCAATGAGGTTGAACAGTCAAGGTGACACACTGTGTTTTAAACCTTTAAGCTTGTGTTTTGTTTCAGTACAAAGCTGGCTGTGCTGAGCAACACTCTGCCCCAGAAGAAGTCCCTCGCGCTCCCCTCCCTCACCAGCCAGCCCCACCAAGTGCTTGCGAGTGACCTGGTGCCGTACTCGGATGTTCAGCAGGTATAATGGTGCACTAGCACACGTGGAAGATATGTTGGCATGTCCTGCTTTTGTTGGCTACATATAACATCAGAGAGATACTTGGAAACAGTATGCAACATGTGTAGCTGTGTGGCATTTCAGTGTGTGTGGGGGTGTGACTAAATGTGTGGCTGAAAATAGATCTTAAAGATATCAAATGCATTTCTGTCGTTACTATTTTTGTCCACCTCTTTAAAAAGACATTCTGTTGGTCATATACAGCGGAGTAGTTTGTTGCTCTCTGTAAATTTGATTCATTTTGCACACTCATAAACTCTTCTGCTTTCTTCTCAGGTGTCGAAGATAGCAGCTTATGCTTACAGTGCAATTTCTCAAATCAAAGTGGATGCTAAAGAAGAGCTAGTGGTCCAGTTTGCCATTCCCTGATTCTGTGACCCTGGCATGCACACTGTTCCTCCCATCCCGCTCTCTCTGTGTCACTTCTGCATCCTCACCCTCCAGCTCATCCTTTATTAAAGCATCTTGGTTCTTGTGCTCCTTAGCTATGCCTCTGACTGCTATAAAGACAGAGACAATGTAGGATTGCACCCTACGGCTGTCTTTTAGTGTACTTAATTATGTGTCGGTTACAAATGGTCAGCATGGGCAATGGAAGATGGCCGACCGTTGGTGGGCCATGCTGTCATATTTACAACAACAAGGCCTCCTCTGTACGTGGATCACAGAGTCTGTCAGAACCAGCTGTGGAAAAGTAAACATTCATCCTTCTTGGTAATCGCTCTAATCTTTAAAACGGTTTCAGGGCCGTCTCAGTATCTATATTTAGTTAGTTTCCCTAGCCTGTATTCTCAAGGAAGAGCATTTTTTCGATGCAATGCATAGGCTATCGGTGTATATGCTTGATACAATCTTCACTGGAACCGGAGAAATTAGGAATCTCTGTGGCATGGAACAAGTACAATAGGCGCAAGAGCAATAGTTGGGTATTTTAGCCATTTACCAGAATGGAAAACATCCAACATGAAGTTTGCACTTCATATGTCTTTAACTCTGTTCTTTTGTCCCGGGGGGGGAAAACAAATGTAGAAAAGTGCAGCCAGAAAAATGAGTATACGTGTCAAGAGGCTATTGTATTTTAGAAGGTTGTAATGCTATAGCTGTGATGTGACCATCGAACATCCCACAGTAATCTGGTGTCACACTGCACCAAGATTCACGTCTCACTACAACCTAAACATGAACCAGTAAGCCAACCGGACATTGCCCCGTAGTAATGTTTACAAGCTGACAGTGAAACCGGTCGGTTATTGGTTGTCCTGTGTGTAATCTGTCATCCCAGTTGAGGCGAATTCATGAGTGACCTGACGACGACTAGTGTCCTCTGGTGGGTGAGGATGCAAACACAAGCAGGAGGGTGCTGGGGGGGAGGGGCCTACTGATGTCACAGCAGAGAGGAAAGATGGGAGTTTTCTTGGGTAACAAGTTCTTGAGTTTACAGACAGTAATTTGTCCTGAGCTGGCAGACTCTTTAAATACAATCCCAGAACTTCGCATATTTAATAGCAGTGGAGGCATACAGAGATGAAGAGGGGGGTTGGTGTGTAGAAGATGCAGTGACGGATATCATGTATTCATGCCGCCTTTTGTACAGAATTTTCAGATCGAATATAAAAGCAGATGATGGATTGTATGAAGTTCCTCCTTTTTGTCGAGAGTTCATTGGGGGCAGGTTGGACAGGATCTTGTGGCGATAAATAAATGTTTTTATGAAACGCAAGAACACTTTTAAAGACTTCATCTGTTGGCTTTTTTTAAACGAAAGCTGTCCGCTGCAGATTGTAATAGGATTGAGTTCATATTAATCAGAAACTAACCATTGTAGCAGTGTGGGGGGGGGAGCGCTAACGATCTATGTACCACGGCAGATAAAATGATCCCGAGACCCTTTTTTGTGATTATTTATTTGTGTTTTTAAATGTTTATTTGCTCTTCGGTGGAGAGCACGTGAACATGCGTGTGCAGGGAGCAGGGTGAGCCGCTCTGCAGTCTCTAAAGGGATAATCCGCAGTGCCGTCATTATTTCAACCAAGCAATTGATTGGAGCTTTTTGCAATGGGTTCTTGGCATTTTTCTCTGTTTTTGTTTGTTACTCAAATATGTTATACTTCCTGAAATATGTTTGTAATATCTTAGGCTCGTAGCAAAAAGTTTCAAGGATTTTGGTTTGTTTTTTTTGGTTTAATTAATTCATTAAAGATTTTCAACATAAACACATGTCTTATTAAATCTTACATCCACTGGATCAGTAATGAAACGGAGAAAGTCATTAATGTTAACTGGTATGCCACTTTGTTATAAAAGAATAATCCATAACAATATTAAGATATTCCAGAACCCACACCCATGTTTGCAACAATATCTTCCAGGCATCTATAGAATGTTAGAGCCAGTATCTCAGGATGGTTCGGATGGTTCATTTTCCTCATCACTTTAATATCAAGTGATACAGTGTTGATGACTTCTCTTTGGACTATCCAATAATAAACTTAATTTCAGCAAATAAAAATGGATAAAACATTCAATACAGTGCTGGTTTCACCACAGATATACAGAGAAACAATATATGAGGTTTTCCAGCAGTAGATGTGGACCACAGGACATTTGGGTGAAGCTGGTTTCAACACACCACGATGGAGGCGAGTCAGCGGTCACTGGAGAGTCTCCTTGCTGCGTCTGTTGCTCTGATGCCAAATCTTTGCCATGACTCGCTCCTGGCGTGTCACAGCACTGAAGTCCATCGTCTTTAATTGAGGCAGAGCAGAGATCACACGATTCCTAAATGCACAAAAACACATATTCATGCATGTGCACTGGATAGTTTAGATGTGAAAACTGAATGTTGAAAGCAGACCGTATCTCTACTGGTGCTACACATATACTACGCAATGTAATCACATTGATTCATGAGAAACCAGGTCATTGGAATAGACTTTTAACCAGCAGCCCCTCTGTGTGTTATGTAACTGGTGTTGCTGCGCAGACTAGCTTATGTACTGTAATATGAGCTTGATCTTGTTATGCACCTACATGCTTGCCAAGCATTTGTGTCTCTCATAGACACTCACAATGTTACTGAACGAAGAGTAAGCCCTCATTCTGCCCCTCTACTGTATGACAGTATGAAGTGCTGATATACAGTGTATATATATATACACAGTATATATATATCAGTGGCAGGCCATGTATTTTATACCTGGGCCTTCATTGCTGTCCTACTACAGTTGAACCACCTCCTAATAACCTCATGACGCCAGCATGACGGGATGCTTTGTCATTAACAGCTAATGCATGTAGTCAAAACCAATTCAACAGGCCTCTGCACATTCCAGCAAAACTGCGGCGCTAAAACACACATTCAGCCACACACTCAAGGGCACCATTCAAATATTATTCACTTCAGAGGGAACAATATCAACCATATCATAAAAACAAGACAGTAGAAAAATGAACACAGTAGTAACGGAACATGGAACACACACAGAACACGGAACACAGAACGCACACAGAACACGGAACACTGAGCGGAACACGGAACGAAACACACGTAACACACACAGAACACAGAACACAATCAGAACATAAACAGAACACCCACAGAACAGAGAACACAACACGGAACACAATCAGAACACAGAACACACACACACACACACACAGAACACAGAGTAAGTAACTTCTCCACCTGTAAGCCTTGTTGGTTTCTATCATATTTCCATGCAGAGTGATGGTATGTAGATGCGGCAGCACTCCCAGCCTGTCCACCTCTGACAGAATAAAAATGCCATTGCCGTGGAGATACAACACACGCAGTTCATGCAGCTCGCACAAAACCTGGAACACAAGCACACACACACACACACACACACACACACACACACACACACACACAC